TGTATGTATGTATATGTGTGTGTGTGCGCGTATGCGTATGTGCATGTGCTTCTGCATGTATTGTTTCTGTACATGCATTGCATTGACACAACAACTTGGACATGCAGCCATCTGCAAGCCTAGGACTTCTGGTATCACAATGCCCCGCTTATGCGCAATGCGGACATCGTGGACCTGAGCGATGAGACAGCTCCAGACTGGAACTTCATGCACGACAAGGCACCAGGGCAAGGGCGACTGGCGTTCTTGCTGTAGGGTCCTTCGTAAGACAGCCATAGCAGTTACGGTGGCGGAGACATGATGACGAACTTTTTCGTGGCGAACACCCGAAACGGAGACATCATATGGTAAATCAGCATGAGACCAGGTCTTCGGCTTTGTCAAGTGTGTTTTCAAGCTGATGGACGGCTGGGAGGATCTGCCGCAGGGGGATGACGAGTCTGGCCTGCAACCTGAGCTTGATTGCAAGGATCACATTGCCATAGTTTCCGCAGTCATGCGCATAAAGGAAGCCGGTGGTAGCGGTCATTCAGCCAGTTCGGTCTCAAGCATAGCTCATCAGACAGCCTGATATACCGGACAAGAGCCGCTTCATTGAACTAACGGTTCACGACTCGCAAACAAGCACTTGGCGCCCTCGAAATGCCGAGCTTCAAGTAACGTCCGAGGTTTCGATGAGCATACCGTATTCAAAATACCTTAAATTGCACAGAGCATGAACTACCGAAGTTTAAAGTGGAAGACAACGTGTGTTCTTGTTGGGGTAATCGATTGCCAATGTCTCGTTCTACAACATCAGCATTTGCACACCAACTCCGAACCCTTGTCTTGGAGCCAAGGATTATGAGCAGAAGCCCACGGAGGAGTCAGACGATGAAGATGAGCCAGTTGCGGTCAAGGATGTGGAACCGGTGGTCGCCCAGCCTCTGAGCGAAATTTAGCTTGTGAGGTGAGTCCTGATTCTCTCAGATTAGAGTTGACTGTGCTTGACAGACAAATATGGGTCTTTAAAGCTGACTTTGGGAAAGCGTCACCGCCTGCCTCACACGAACCTGATAGATTAGAAGGTCCCCTGTGGACACTGGTGCCGGTGTGGGGCTTCTGGATGATGCGGCAGCACTGGCCAATGTTCGTGCTGATGCCCGAAAGCGGAACAAGATGGATGACACTCAAAGCGCAGTCGTCACCGACGAGGACCTGCGACATACTCTCGTTCCCCCCTGTTGTTCCTCACCGTTCACGGAACTGATGTAGACATGTTTACACAGTTTGTCCATCGGAGATCGTGCGACAGTGTAAAGTAGCACGGCACCATTCCCTTGCATCTTCCATCTAATTGCTGCATACGCCTAAGATGCGCCAGGCCAGATAGCTTCGCTGGCAGTCTGACATCAGTTTCCTCCGGCGCATGTAGCCGTGCTGAACATGTTGCAGATGCCATTGCTATGCATGCCTGCTAGATGCTAGAATGCCAGCTCTGCCAGTCGCGGCAGCATCTACGCAAGACATGTGCTTATCCTGGTATGCGATGTTCGCTAGCGATGTCACGAAACAAGATGTATTGCACCCACTTGGGAACGAGCAAGCGCAAGGACATCGCGAAGCTTCGGCGGTCTGTGGGCTTTGACGACGATCTGGATTCTTATGCTTTCGACGTCGCCAAGTTGACATCGCGCTTCAAGAACAAGGAGGGGCCAGCCCTGATACTTCAGGGCTGAATGCGACAGTTAGGGTAAGCTTGTCAAATGACAGATTTCCAGGGCGTCCGGGTCGCTGGCAACCCGACTAGAGCTACAGGGCAAAGGTACTGCATGATCCGCCTTCAAGCAAGAAGAGGTTCTATTTCTAGATGTTGCGTGCTTGCAGCATTCACTTCAGGATCCATGCAGCCCAAAACGGGCCACTGCAATCTAGTCTATCAATATTCTACAGTTGAGTGCACAGGGTCTTGCATTACGAGCTGCATGCCGTCGGGGGACAAGGTCAGGCCTACCAGGATTGTACTGGATTGCCGACGGCCTGCACAGATACCACCTTCCCTCATGAGGAGCGGGTCCCTTCGCGAATTCGTGTGCGGATCTACTTTATCAAGGCCTCGCTCGGGCTAAAGAGCTTCTGTGCTTCCGATTTTTTGAGCTTGGAATTCTCATTGTGCTTTTGTGGCTGCGCCGCGTTGGGGATCATGGAAGAAAAACTCTTCCTTGAGGCAGCATGCCGAGAAATCATGCTTTCAAGAATTGGGGCGTCTGGCACTAGTTGTTTGCCGGGTCGTTAGACTAGAGCGTTCGTAATCATCACAGGGTCTCTTTTAGCAAAACAATCGAGATCTGGCTTTGATTGCCATGATATGTCTCTCTCTTCCGGCATGCCCGGTTCCGAACAGTTGGGAAGACGGTGGACTGCAGTTCCAGCAGCCTTCCGGGCATCAGCCTGTTTCAGCTCAGGCCATCTGCATCTTCGGAAAGCAGGTGGAGGGTTTCTTTGGCAAGGCGTTCATCGACCCCTACCTAGCGCAGCTTGCCTTTGTCGGGCTTGCTTTTAAAAGAACTCTCGCACGGCGGTGATGATTGCGAATGAAGCAACTCCCAGTGTTCATGCTAACCATGCCAAATAAAGAGCACAAGAAATCATGCTGCCAAGACTTGACTTTCCAGCAGCGGCAACACTGTTAATGACAAGAGCGCGTAATTATCAGCACCTGTAGGAACTGTCCATGTCGGGACCTTTTCCCAGTCTATTCCTTCATACGCACTCAGCTGCAGCACCGCGATCACTGCCATCAACGACACAATGAGGTCAAAACGTCACACTAGCTGAGGGAGCCAGAGAACTTGCAGCAGCAGCAATGGCAATCAGCAGTAGCAGCAGCAAGCCGCAGCAGCAAGCAGCAGGAGCAGCAGCAGGAGTAGTAGTAGTCGTCGTCGTCGTCGTAGTAACCTTAGCCGCAGCCAAAGCCGTAGCAGTAGCCGTAGCCCTAAGCGACATCCCCAAGTGGGGCCAGATTGCAAGACTGTTTGGCAAACTTGCTGAAGTAATTGTCGTAGATTCCCGGCATACAGTAGTAGTAGTAGTAGTAGTAGTAGTAGTAGTACCCTAGTAGTTGTATTTGCAGCAGCTGCAGCAGTAGTAGTAGCAG